AGCTGCGGGGTGAGTGGTTTGGGGTGGGGGCTGGCCTGGGACAGAGGGCAGGACAGGGTGGCAGCGGGTGGGCCCTGGGGAGACCATGGGTGCCAGCACGAGGTTTGGCTTTACTAGAAAGCAGGGCCTGCTCTGCCAGGGCACTGTCACCGAGCCGGCTGCCGGAGACGCCGCCAGGGAAGGGGAGCGGGGCCGTGGGCTTGGGGGAGGCTGGGAACAATCTCCCATCCCATGTCTTTCGCCAGCAGGAACGCCATGTCCTGGGAAAGGCTGACATTGTCAGGCTCTGAGTGCAGCCTCAGCTGGCGCAGGAGGGCTGGGGGTCGGGTACGTCCCCCAGGAACCCGGCGAACCCATGGAGCAGGGGAGCTGCGGGTACCTCCATCACGGGCAGCGTTCCCCAAAGCTTTAAACCTGCACTGCTACTGGAGAAGTGGCTTAGCCCTGCCCTGGCATGGATCCCCAAGTGGTGTGGGGTGCTCCCCAAGGTCCAGGCAAACCCCCAAGATGCTCAGCCACTGCCTGGGGACTGCCTAGAGTCCAACACCATGCGCCAATGACCGGGCTGGCCGCAGGGGTGCTCCGGTCACCCCTCACAGATGTGGCTGTGGGCAGCACGAGGCGGCTCCTTGCCAAAACCCGGGAGCCTGTGGGAGCCAAAACCAGGGGCTTGACCCTCCCCACCCACTTCCCAGGCTCTGGGGAGATTTGGGGCCACGGGGCCATGGGGCTGCAGCTCCTGGCTGACACGCTCCTGGCACCTCGCTGCATCCTGCAGCCGACAGGGACTGGTCCGTGCCAGGCACGGTGCCATGCTCCCCAGCACAGTGCCGTGCTCCCCAGCCAGCTCACGCTGCTGACCCCCGCCAGGGCTTGAGCCATCTCCCGGGACAGAGCTGGGGAGCTGCTCGGGGCTGTGCTCCCTGCCTCGCTAGTTCCCACCATGGGAACAGCCACCTACTTCTAATTATAGCCCCCAATTGCCTGTGTTTGGTTGCTTTCCTGTGGTTAACGGGGACTTGGGGGCCAGGAGGAGCGGTGAGGCACGCACAGTGGTGGCACAGCGTGGTTGTGTCCCTTCTACGTGTCCCTGATCCCCGCCACACGCAGGGAAAGGCTGAGCCACTCCTGAACTGTGTTTTCCTAAAACCAAAATAAAAATAAGGGACCCATTTCCTCACATCCCCTCTCCTTGGGTCCTGGTGCTGAATTGGCCTTGGTGGAGGTGGGGAACGGGGGAGGATTTAATGAGCCACAGTCGATGGACCCCATCTCTGCCACTGAGCTTCCGTGGGACCCTGGGCATGTCACCCAGTGTCCCCACCATGCTGTGCCATGCCAGAGGCAGCATGGGAGAGCCGAGGGTGGTGTCCCGGCCCCGCCACACGCAGGGAAAGGCTGAGCCACTCCTGAACTGTGTTTTCCTAAAACCAAAATAAAAATAAGGGACCCGTTTCCTCACATCCCCTCTCCTTGGGTCCTGGTGCTGAATTGGCCTTGGTGGAGGTGGGGAACGGGGGAGGATTTAATGAGCCACAGTCGATGGACCCCATCTCTGCCACTGAGCTTCCGTGGGACCCTGGGCATGTCACCCAGTGTCCCCACCATGCCGTGCCATGCCAGAGGCAGCACGGGAGAGCCGAGGGTGCTGGGGGCTCCAGCAAGACAGTCCAAGGGCAGCATGCCACTCCACCCTGCCCGGATGGGGGTCCCCCACCCCAAATGGCAGACGCGCTGGGCGGGCTGACCCTCGCACGAACCTCCCTCCTCGGTTGTTTTTCCACCAGAGCCGGGCTGGAGCCAGCCCCCGCCTGCTGCAGATGTTTGGCAGGAGTCCGGGGGCGGGAGGCCAGGCGCTTCCAGTCCCCTGGCCGCCATGCTGCCGCTGCCACCAGCCTCCCCAGCTGTCCCCGAGCCACAGGCCGGGGGCTGCAGAGACCTTGCACCAGGCTGCAGGGCCATGGTGAGCACAGGGAACGTGAAACCAGCAGTGGAGACCATGTACTGCTGCTGGCTAGGCTTGTCCCAGAGCCGAGCGAGGAGCTGCTTCACTGCAGAGTGACGGGGACGGTGCCAGCAGCATGCCGGGGATGGCAGCGAGGGGCTCGGGCAGTGGCAGGCAGGATTGTCCCAGCTGGCAGCAGTGCTGCTTTCCCTCTGGCAGCCTGGCATGGCATCAATCCTGGGGCAACCTCTGAACTTTTGTTCTAGGTGTGCAACAGGAGGCGAAAGCAAAACAAGTTCTGCCGGGCGAGAGGCCCCAGCTCCCCCAGCGCCAGGCTTCCCCCACGCTGCCGCCTCTGCAGCTCGGCCAGCTCTCGCCGCCCTACCCTCGCC